TGGATAGAAATTTGTTTAAAATTAATTTTTAATATTTTTTAGATTATTTACAATTATATAACACGTTATTAGTAAATATTAACAATAAAAAAATTATATGTTGAACAAAATTCTAAGAAATTGTGTCATTATATACATTGTTTTTCTAATTGAAATTAAAAGCAGTCAAAATGACTTCCTTAGGCAATCTAGTGTTAACTACGTCAAAGTAATTTCAAGCTGATAACAAAAATCGCATTTAATTAGATACTTAAAAAATAAGAAGTATTATTCACATATAAAAATATATAAGATCATGAATTTATTAATGTTTTAGTTTCTTTCACATTTGCAACTTGTATACCTGTTACATAAACCAAGAGATCGAAATTCTAAAAAAAAATTTGATAATATTATAAATAAAATAAAGTTATGTACCCCGGTACTAATTTTTGTATTAACAAGTCGTCGCTGATATGTTATCGAAAATAAATAATTGCTTGCTCTCTGCAACAAATTCAAGATTTTGCAAACTTTTATTTTTACTAATCAGTAAATGTAATCACTTGTTTTTTGTTTAGCCCGATTCAATGCTTCGTTCAATATTTTTTTTTATACATTTCGTTCCTTTCCTTTCTCTTTTCTTCAACCGTATTTGATGAAACGAACCAAAAAATGACATAGTCGACGAAATAAACGAATTGCGAAAACTAGCTAGTACACTAAAAAAAAATTTCGCAAAATTACCCTGTTGACAAAAGGATTCATTATGCTTAGTTATCATCTGAGGATAATCCTTGTTCATAAATGAGTATTGCTTTATTAAAATTTGGGTCTCCGTTATACGTTCCTCGCCTAATTGTCAGTTTATTAAAAAAAAGAATTAAAAATACAATTTTCAGTTCTAAAAGTATTTCTGTATCCAACAATATCGGATTGATTTCATTGATTTATTAATTCAGTATATTTTTACCCTTGTTTACATCTTACTTTAGTTTCTATATAAAGAATCATTCAAAGTAGTTACTGCAAGTACCTTTACCAAACTAATCTATAAAAATCTATTATAAAATGAAATCGAAACAATCAAACTCAGAAATAAATATGCTTTAACGGCTTAAATACCAAATGTGCAAGTATTTCATTTCTGTAACGTGATGTAAAGCAAAAGAAGTAAGCAATTTAAAATTTTAAAAAATAATGCTTCTTTTCTGACAGTTGCAACATAGGATAATAATTTCGCTTTAGACTAAGTTTCAAAAATTTTCTAAATTATGAAGAAAGAGAAATGACGTAATCCGCAACCTAACAAACCATAAAAATAGTTTCAGAATTGCGAGTGACAATTAAATAACCCTATCGACGAAATGACTAGTTAATGAAATGTCACTGTCGACGAAACAACCCCACCGATGAAACAGCCCTGTCGATAAATAGACTAGTCGATAAAATTAACCTGTCAATGAAATGACCCAATCGATGAAGCAGCCCTGCCGACAAATAGACTTGTCGATAAAATTAACCTGTCGACGAAATGACCCAGTAGATGAAACGACCCTGTCAACGAAATGACCCAGTAGATGAAACGACCCTGTCGACGAAACAACCCTACCTAGAGCCCCTGAATTAGACAGGCCGACTTCTCATTTATCGTTGGAGCAAAGAGCTAACATAGGCACAGCGAATAAATATTTTCAAGTGGTAGTTTATTAATTGTAATTCTTGGTTTAATAAGTTCGATTTAGTAGATTTTAATCCATCACTATCTTTAAACAATGCGTACGCTTATATAATTCACCACTTTATAGTACTTATTACATGCTTTACATTTTAAAAAGCAAGCAAATATTGTCAACTATTTGCAAAATTTACTACGTAGATATTTAGAGTTTTTTAAATTATTTTGGCGTGTACGGCGCAGTTGGCATCTCTGTAATAACATAACTAATATTAACATAACGTTAACTTGCGAACTTGTTTGCTCCAATATTGCTTGATAGGTCAGCTCTGATACTATAGGAGCCTTAACCCTACCGATGAAGTGGTCCGTTGACGAAGCAGCCCTGTCGACAAATAGACTTATATATAAAATTAACTTGTCGCCGAATCTTATGTAATATTTCGTTCTTGTTTCGTATTTTGGCATGTTTAAACATAAAGCAAAACAAAATATTATACCTTATTATCATTTTTTTAATCATTATCAAATAAAATAATTTTAAAGTGTAAAAAGATAAGATTTATAATTGTAAGCAAACAATTTTTTTTTCATTTGAGAATACCTCGCATAAATCAAAAGTAGATAAAAATGTAAATATAATATAGATATCTAATATTTTGATTGCTCTTCTGAAATCGCTTAGGATAGAAATTTTTTTTTGTTCTATCGAATTTAAATAAAAGTTCATTATATAAGTAGTTTGTACGGCATTTGTAATAAAAATAAATGAAATTTGTAGACATACATAAATAAAATTTGTAGACATTTACTTTTTTTTAAAATAATGAATAAAAATCATTTTACTTCGTATATATATATTACTATTATCCTTACTGCAGGGAGGTGCCAAATATATTTTTGCTTACACATGAAAATCGACCCAAAGCAGCCCTGCATCCATGGCTTGTCCGGGATTTGAACTCAGGATCTTTCTGATCTGAGGTTTGCTCCCTGAGCGTCGAATGTAGCAATTGCTGATTGCGTACATGCAGCCGTTACTCTCCAGACAAATTAGTACCCGTCGGTCTGATGCTGAGTGGGCTTCAAGCCACCGCTGGGAATCGAAACCTAGTTCTTCACAGCAGTTCATTTCCTTATTCAATGTACAATCATTGAGTAGGATAATTAAGTTTAAAGTCGTTTAATTTGTAACATATTAGTGGAAAAAATTAACATATTGTGTGAAAGCATTAGCAATAAAATATTTTTTTATTGCTAATGAATTACGTTGTTATTTATGATACGTTCAAATTCGAAATTTCATTCGGCAAAAAGAGAATTTCCTGTTCCCAAAAATATAAGTTCGCACCGCCCCTGCTAATGAATTGAGAAAATGAATAAGTAAGAATTGTATTTTATTATGTTTTAATTTAGCTTATTTAATGATTCCCTGTGGGTAACTTATTAACACACAATTTACCAAATATTAAATTAAAAAATGAATTAGAAGTATCAGACTTACAAGCCATGTTTCTTAAATGTGTTAACTTCTATGTTACGATTTCAGTTTTTTATTAGTCTTTATGAAGATAACAGAAGTTTGTAAAATACGGTGATAGCGTTTCTAACAACTTATCCTCTCTTAAGAAAGGTTAGTAAATTGTGCTAAAAGCTACATTTGTGACCATTATTCGTTGTTCGATCATGCAATAAAACATTTTCTGATAAGATCGCGGTCACACCAACAATGTTTACCAGAAGCAAGGGTTAGTGCAGAGGATACGACATATAAGCGTACTTCCATTTTTTTTCGTCAATTACACAATTAATAATTAATAGTAACTTTTTATTCATAGTAAATTGTTTTTTACATCTGTAGTTTTAAAATAAAAACTATGTTTAAATCATATATATTTTTTCTTTAATTTTTAAGATGACAAGGGGCTTTCAAATTCTTGATTAGTATGAAAACTCCGTGGTCAAATTTTTAGTGTGACCAAATGCCACTGTCCGGTATCCCTACACTGATGCTTTTTTATTCTTTTAAGATTAAGTTTTATTTTCCAGGATACCCTGTGTCTTTTTTTTTTTTTTTTTTTTTTTAAATTTAAGAGCCACACCCCGTTTACATTTGTTCGGTATACCCAACACTGATTTTTTAAGTGCCAAACACATGCATAATATATAAATGCAATTCTACCTGCAAATGTATTCTAATTGTAAAACTAATCTAACTCCAATATTTCAAACTTAATCCTGGCATAATGTATTTTGATATATTATTGTTGGGCATGTAGAAACGTATCGCCAAGATAATGCTTGATTATTATAAATTGCACCCTCACATGCCGTTTAGAAGAGGATAGATGGTTGTCGCATGGCTACTAGAAGCGCAATTCGCCAAACTGTTAGGAATGGGGGATTTAATTGAAGTAATTACTGAGCGCAGTTTACCACTGTCCGTAATCCAAATGATAAACATGCCTCCTTTCTCCCTGATAGCTGTGCCACTGACAGATTCATCTGAGAGAAATAATTCTTTTTTTCCGTTGTTAAATCATATGGTTTAAATGGGAGATTTTGATTAGCTGTATTTTCAGTGTTTTTGTTTTTCGTCCATGAAAAATTATAAAATAGTGTCAAATTTCATTTCATCGTTTGCTATCATCTCCCAACGTTTAAAATAATTATCTTTGTATAATCAATCGAGAAAAAAAGTCCAACTTTATAAAATTCAAGTTTGGTCATTTTTTTAACAAAAATTAATGCAAATTTTAAAAAATGAAGTTCTTGGGGGCAATTTAGTGACAAATCAATATCTTAAGAAGACACTTTTACATTAAACTGCTACTTATAGTGTTGTTTCCAAATAGGTATTTTACTAATATCTTTGCTAAATAAAATCTAAAAGCACAATACTTAGAAACATATTATGGTTTGCATGAAAATTGTGAGGTTCACTAAAAATACTCTAAAAAATTGTTCGCTTGAAAATGCGGCTAACCCCTTTAAATCTATAGACGTACAGTATGTAAATAATGAATTTTTCATTATTATTCTAAAATTTCATCTAATCCATATTTTGCTGGGTAATATATAAAACTACCTGACTTGCCCTTTTGGAAACCGAATTTCCTTCCCCCTTTTATTCCAATTTTAAACCAGGTGCTACTTATGATAGATCACCCGCCCTAATGTCTTTCAATATTTACTTAGCGTTTGGTATCTAAACAATCACATTATTAAATTGACAGACTGCTCTCGAAAGGAGCGCTGATTATTTTACGAGATAATTCTTATCATCTTCAATTCTTTTTTTCAATGTTAAAATTCAGGGAATTTTCCCTTCGACTTATTATTCTTCAGTCAATGAAAAATGAGTAAACTTGTATATAACGTTTCGTTTACAAAGTTTCGCTAGTATACTATTTTCTTTTGTCAACTCAAATCAAACATGAATTTCGCCAACCTAATTTATTTGTTATTGTTCGAAGCTGTATCTTCAACGTCATCGCATGTAGTATTTGAAGGTAAATTAGAACAATTTCATATTTTTTTTACCCTATACAACTGATAATGTTTTGTTTATCAACGTAATATTCCAATTATGCTTGTTATTCTAATTCCTTTGAACTTAAGCTGGTTGTTGAATAATTTTAAATCCAATTTTTTCTTTTAAATTATTCATATATTATAATACAAAATATCTTACCTCTGCTAGATTCATTATAATAAAAGTGTAATACAATTCCATCATTATTATTACTAAATTTTTTCAACCTTCTATTCCATAATTTTTTTTTTTTTTTAATAATCTTGGCATCTAGAATTTTTGCATTTTGAAGACCCGCCGCTTATTATTATAATTGTTATTATAATTATTGTTGTTATTATTATTTTGGTCATTAATATTATTGTTATTAATATTATTGTTAATATTGTGGGGGGGGGGCTAGAGGCCCAGGAGTATAGCTCTAATAGATCGCCTCTCTGTCTGCGAGATTTTTTCTTTAATTTTTTTAATCTACTAATTTCAACGCTTATGCTTTTTTGTGGAAGATTGTAACTAAAATAATAATTTAATTTGTTTAATTTACCCGAAAATTGTTTATTTTATTAACAGCACCATTAGAGTATCAGACGAAATTGTTCAAAGCTTAGGAATTGCCATTAAAAATGTGTTGCTTTAGGTAATGTGAAAAACTCTATATTAAGAATAGTATCAACTCAAATTTTTATTTCGAATTTTTTTTCGATAATTATTAAATAAATATTAAATTAATATTAATATTTTTTTGTCATATGAAGTAATTATTAATTATATGAAATAAATAATTATAATAATGCGAAATATTTATTAATAATGTGAAATAATTATTAATAATATGAAATAAATAATAATATGAAATAATTAATAATTTTCTGTCACAAATATGGGCCTTACCATCAATGAGGATAAAACTAAATTTATGGAATCTCCAGCCACAACTGTAAATCATGATCCTTTATTTATAAATGGTTATACCTTTGAAAAGGTTAATGAATTCAAATACCTTGGAACAATGATCAATGACCAAAACAGCATAAAAACAGAAATAGACAACAGAATTAAAATGGCAAATAAGTGTTTTTTTGGACTAAGAAAGCAATTAAGATCAAGCCTAATCAGTCGAAAAACTAAAATTAAAATTTATAAGACTCTTATTCTATCTGTATTGCTCTATGCAAGTGAAACATGGACACTAAACGCAGACACTCAGCGTACTCTTAGTGTTTTTGAAAGGAAAATTCTTAGCAATATTTTTGGCTCAGTTCAGGAAAGAGGCTGTTGGCGAATCAGATACAACTTTGAATTATATAGACTCTACGGACAGCCACAGATAGTGCAGGTCATCCGAAGCAATAGATTAAGATGGCTCAGCCATATCTGGAGAGGTCCAGAAAACAATGTAGTACGTCCAGAAAACAATGTTATTCATGAATGTTATCAATAATATTAATGAATAATTATAATTAATAGTTATTTCACATGATGAAAAATATGAAAGTAAATTATATTAGACGACACCTTTAGACCAACTGTCTTGCTAATTATTAAAATCATATGATTCAGATTGTGATAATCTTCTTCTTGAGGATTTAGAATATGTATCTATAGAATAAATAAACCTGCTACTAATTTCACTACTTAATTCATCCATTATTCATCACTTATATAGCCCTTTAAACAATTTTGATCACATCTTAATTTTTGAAAACTGATCAACAAAAGTTAATTAAAAGTATTAAATCAGTTGTGGCTAAAAGTTAAGAAAAGGGTATAGCAGCCTTAGAATCCATAGTCTAAGGCAGTATTTCGTGCTGAGCCCCACATAAAAGTGTCCTTTATTTTATAACCGTTGTTGAACAGCCGACCCAATTTTGAGTTTACGATTATCAATGTTCAACTCTATACTCTTCTAATTTTGAACCTAATCCAGAAGACAAGGGAACTCCTAGATCAAGTATTGGGAGAAATTTGCCTTCCTGGAGGACTTTTGATGAAACTTACTCGCATTTGCTTTACATGCAGACGAAAACCTTCCTTGGTTAGCCTGACGATAAAGGGACTATAGCCCATGATCCGTCTACCACTGAGGATATTTTACGTCAGTACTGTGGTCGGTGAAAGCCGGGTGAGGAATTCGAATTCCAGCCATCGCTGAGATTTGAATTCGGTTCAGCTCATTGGAAGGCGATTGCTCTACCTCCTGAGCCACCACGGGTCCCTTTATTTCGATAGAATATTTTCAATAATAAATGAATATATAAATGAATTTTATTCAATAAAGTTGATATTTATACTAAAGAGCTCCAGCTCGCTTCGCTCATCAATCCCCACAATTGCTGCACTCATTTTTTTTTCAATAAATAGATTGTTGCTTTAAAATTAAAAACTTTTCCGTTGAAAAATCTCAAAATGTATTATTATATTAAAACAGATTTAGTTTAGATTTTGTTTCCTATTTTTTTAAAAATAAAATTTAGATTAAAAACTTCAGCTACTATTTTGTTTTTGAAATTCCTATTAAAATTTCAGTTACAATAAAAGAATACTACTGATTCTCACCAAAGCAATTATTTGATAAGAATTTAATAGAATTATTTAGTTTTAAAGTAAAATTTAAGTCAAGTATTAGTTGTTTTGTTAGCTTTTAGTATAAATTTGCTACCACTATTTAATGTTTTAGGACATTGCCATGACTGCCTAAGAAAAAAAAAATTAAAGAAGTCGAACAATATATAGAATATCGAATTACAAATTGGTAACCCTTTGACGCAGAATTTTTAGTAAACACACTTTTTATACTTTTTTCATTATTTTGTATTAATTTAGGTGAAAATGCGTGAAACATGTTACATTTAGCATTTAAATAATTTATGATTATGAAATATAGCATTAAACACCGGTGTCCTTTTTCTGCGTCACTTTCAAGTAATAATTTTTCTAAATTGCACTTATTTGTAGTTATTTATATCAAAGCGAAATTGCAATTCATCAAATTTCTTCATTTTTATTGATAAATTTTGAATCTGAATGAAATTTTTTCTTCAAACTACTTTTTTCGGATTTTATATTTCGGTGCAAATATAATTCCGATACTCTAATAAATTATTTTGGTAAAACTGTCAGACTGGTTTTTTTAATAATTTAAAAATACAAAATATATTTTTATTTGTAATAAGAGAGCCAGAAAAAATATATAAAAGGAATATCAGTGTCCCATCTGCTCCAAAGGGATAATGAATAATTTTTAAGTAATTTTTAGAAGACGATCAGAACAAAAAAGATATTATATGATTATCGGAAAACAATTATATAAAAATCATATAAATCTTTTTTCTAAGAAATCAAAATTCGTAATTGTTCAATAAGTAAATAAAACTATTTGACTAAAATGATTTTGTTCTTTTGTGCTCAATTAAACAAAGACTTGCTATTCACTATCTTATGTTAATCAATAATTTCTGCTTTCGTTTTCGTTTGCGAAATTTTCAAGTAGTGTATAACCATTGTATACAACTTTCTAAATAGAAAAGAGATTTTCCTTATCTCTTTTCCGAAACTCTTCTCTGTTATTCTGATAAAGTAAAGAAAAGTATGCCCTTTAAAATGTATAATCTATTCTCAGCATTAAACAGATACGACAAAGTATCAGAAAGTTTTATTCTTTTTTTTAAAAAAAAAATGCAAGTTTTATCTTAAAGAATTCAAAAATGTATATTCTGTACAGAAAAGCAATGGTAGAAAGCACTAAACTAAACTATAAAATTATAAAACCGTAGAATAAATAAATTTCTATGATGGAAAAAATATCATTAATACACTGCTTAAAATTTTGTTAAGTGTTAAATCATAATGAAGTAGCTATAATCTATACCAGGGTTTTCCAACTCACATGAGGCCGGGGGCCGCAATTAAAAACACCAGTCAAATGGCGGGCCGCAACTTTATCAAAATTTTATATAGGACTCTTTTATGTTTGAAGGAACATTAAATAATACTGTCAGATTTTTATTAAGTTGTACAAAACAAAAGAATTGAATTACGAATTAAAATAAGAAGTAGATTTTTAAAAACATTTTATTACATATTAAAAAATTCTGGCCACAAAATTCACAAATGTAAATAATTTCGTCCAAAATGAGTGGTTTCAAAAAGTTAAATCGGAGAATCTGTTCGAGAAAATTTCTGAAACGCGCATGCTAAATTATATTCACAAAATATAAAAAAACGAGATAAAAAAGAGCAACATAAGCGATTATTTTTGTATTTGAATAAATAATTTCTTGGATGCCAAACCTGAGAAAAATTTTTTTTTGCCCCGTTGGTATGTTAAATTTCACAGCAACGAAGAAATTAGTTTTTTTTTTTTTTAACGAAGGAAAAGTATTTTAAACCCATATAAAGTTTTTTACGAAAATAGTCCGCAAAAATGACAAATAATATATTTTAGTTCGTGGGCCTCAAAAAAAGGCTTCGTGGGCCGCCAGTTGGTAACCACTGATCTATATCTACAATAAAATAAAGAATTTATGCGTCGGATTGTGGGTACACCGTAAGCTCTAAAAATATGACATTGAACATGAAGCTAACTGAGTACAATTGTAATTAAAATACGACGACATTAAAAAGAATTTTTTTTTCTCATTGACTTAACGGAAGCTATTGTTTAAAAATAGCTTTCGTTTAAACGATTAGAATGATAGACAGATAATTTAATAAGTATAAGCATATATAGAATAATATATTTATAAATTAAATATATTTAGAATTATAGGCGATTCAGTTTTGCCACATTTTTTAAAGATAACGTCACTGATGTTTGCTGTATTATAGCTTAAAAAAAGTTGTTTTTAACTATTTTTTTTATTTGTTATGCCAGATTATCTGAATGAGCAACGTGATCGAGGTATCAAAGGTGGATTACGTCAACAAATTACTATTTCTAAAATAGTATGAAACACGTGTTTATTTTGTTTATAGTTA